TTCTGCTAAAAATTGGGGATATAACTCAGGTTGGGATATAACACAGTGGAGATATAACCCAGGTATGACTGTATTAATATTCACAAATAATTAATAAAATCTTTATTCGAATATATTTATGAACATAGTACGTATACGTATCGATATTTGAATATATGATATAATTTGTGCGACCATTAATACAGAAATGGAAAAATGGTCTGGTAAAATTATAGGCCTCTAAATAAAAATATTTTTTATAAATAGAGTACAGTGGGCTCTCATACTCTTCCAACATTTGAGACAATAAGTTTTTTCCAATAAAATTATAAGACTGAGATGATTTTGTTACATTATTATTATTATTATTTTTTTTTTGGCACAACCGTTTACATATATAATTGGCGACAAGTTAGATGATAATGAATAATATTAAAATTTTAAACCACTAGAGCTATTATTATGAACGTTCTTTGAATATTTTTTTAAACAGAGGTGATCCCAGCGTAGCTTGCAACCACTTGATGATTTTTGATGATTTCTTCAGGAATATCGATAACTTTTTTCTTTTTGTTCATATAGTCACGAAACTTCTGTATTTCATATTTATATTTTTTCTAGGGTTGTCAACAAATGTTACAGTATTTTAGTTTTTGTAAAAATTGAAAAATTCTAAGAATTGCATACCGTGAATGCGAATACTTTAACAATGTTGTCGATGAATTGTCCACAGGTTTGAAATGACTTGGGAAGCTCAATTTGTCCAACATCAATCATAACGTAGAGCCCCGGTGCAATTAAAATCATTATGTATCTTGTCCATGATGTCACTAGCATATAATAATCATGTGAACAATAATAAATATTATGATTATATGTAAGTAAACTTGAACACTCACCAATCGCCTGCCACGCAAAAACCATACGATTCTCTTAACGAGGAGATCAAGAGCATCTTTCATAAAAATGCCTAACCTAATAAAATCCATGTTATTTTTCTTTAAATTGTTGTTTTTCCCTTTTCCGTAATCTCTCCGAACATCATTTCATATTTAAGCTTGTTGTTATTAACAACTTTACTAACCATATCTGGTTGTTTTGCCCTTGAAGGATCCAAGTTAGCAAGTTTACGGATCTTTGACTCATGCTGGCAGTGTTTGTCCATGTAGTCGGATGTATTGATGTATCATGAAAGAAGGAACGTAATATTGGACTAATTATATTTACAGTCAGTGTGCCCTAACTGATAGAATCATTTAGCGGATTAACAGGTATATTTTCCATTCTATAGGTCAAGAGGAAATAAGTGTTATTATAACAAACGACTTCAGGATATGCTTGAACTCACATTGCAAAAAGACAATCTGCATCCTATCGAATGTTTCCTGATCAGCAGGATCTTCGAATGATCTTGTTACAGCCTTTTTTGCCTCTTTCAATCTAAGATCCTCATCAGATGTGGCAAAACTAACGAAGTTATTATAAACGGCTTTTTGAAGTGATAACATATGGGCGGATTTGACATATGATGACCATTTGAAATGTGACAAAATCATGTACGTACGGACATTGTAAAAAATAATAATTTGGCCCATAGCCAGCATAATTCGACCTGGTTTCATAATTATTTCCTTTTTAGATCATCTTGCAACTTGCACATACATTAATGAAAATGCGTTTAATCCACCCATATGAACATATTAATATAGTACCCCTAAATATTGCTTTCACGCTTGGTGCAACTTTTGTTTTCGCCACATGTGTATTACGGATGTTTCTATGTATTGTTCTAACGTATCTCTAGAAAATTTTTGGACTTGTAGGTCTGAAAAGTTGTCGGCTTGTAGTAGTAAAATGTGGGATAAGCTCCTGACAATTCAAATAAACATTAGCTGATTATTTGTACAAAAAAAGAGTATATTCTCAAGATTAAAACTTACAATATTTCGTGATAGTCTGTCACAATTGATAAACATGACTAGTGATGCAGGCGAATCGTCCCAATGAAATTTTACGGCATACGACAAGTTATGGTTACGGTTGCGGCAAAAATCACATAATCCCATTGTTCTGTAACCATAAATCAATACCATAACGTTGTAATTTCCGTAACTAATTAATCAATGTCGTAACATGCCGTAACTAATTAATGATATCATAGCGGCAATAATTATGATTAACCTTCGTAGCTAAAAATTTAATAAATAAATAAAATATATATATATTTACTGTAAATTGCTTTCGCAAAAATTTTATTGTCATAATGGAATCGTTTGAATAAACTAATAATGACTTCTCTATTGAGGAGTAAAGTAGAGCATCAAACAATAACATCAACGAATAGGTGCAGAAAGTACTAATTACGATCCTGCAAACTAAATAGCTCGAATGCTTGAAATTAGTATAATATATGTATATTAACATCTATTACTTTATACATATAATGGCATAGATTTCATCAATATTACATATAATATAACGGTAACAGCTAGTGCTCTAAAGCACAATTATGATATCAAATATATTGTAACGGTAATTAATCATAGGCTTTGTTCTTGAAAAATATCTACTATTCCGTCTCTGTTGTTAAATCGTGTGAATCGTAAAAAATCTTGTATGCACGTACGTGTATACGATACGTATTAGTTACAAGGCATACAATACAGGTTACGGCATATAAATAAGTTGCAGCATATTGGTGAATTCGCAAGATTCGATTTGCCGCATTTTTAATCGACAAGTTGTAACTAGTTATAACTAAATTTCGACCCGGCACATCCCAATGATTCAAGTTTCGCCTACACCTCTAAACCCTGACACTTTTACCATTTGTAATGCTTTGGAACGATATGAAGTAAATAATTCGAAGATATTTTCCCCTTGGAATATATACTGTAGGTCAAATACGTATCTTAGCAGAAGATAAAAATTTATTGACTTGTAGAAACGAAAAAAAAAATACAGGATTATTGTTGACATTCTTAACCGTAAAGATTTGCTTCGAAAAAGTTCTGAGTCGTATGAACTAATATCTACTTTAATAAGTAACTTATAACAAGTATTTAAAAGAGAAGAAAAAATTGATATTTCTTGATCATTTGAATCAACTGATAAAAATGGTTCAATTGGAATATCTTCTGATAATTCAGGACTTCTTCGTAGTCATAGGACGTAACCAACGGGCAAACAGTCTTTGTTTCTTCAAAATTCGTTTCATGGTCCTTCTGTTACGGAATTCTTCCTCGTACTAGATAAATAATAAATAAATAAATAAATAAATAAATAGATAAATTGTTAAACGTAACGTTTAACAGACTCACCTCTTCCAATAAATCTTGCTTTTTTCTTTTTAGCTTTCGTTTCTAATTTCTTTAATTTCTTTGTAAATTTCATCAATTTGTTTTTCTAATGCTTCATTAGTCAAGTTATTTGAAGTGAGAGTACAGGATTCGCTAGAATTTTAGGGTCTCGCTTATTTACGTCAAAATTATCGCTTTCAGTTTTTTATCGACACTTTCACTCGGGGTTAAGGGAACGAATAAACTTGAACTTATTGATGTTCGGATGTTTGTACTGGAGAGGAAGATTGCCATGTTGTAATTCTCGTCGTCGACTTTTCTTCGCTTTACCTGGATTAATTAAAATTGCAGTTCATTAAGAACAAATGGCAATAGTTAAGGCCAGACCAATTTAATTCTCTGTTTTATACTACTTCCCTCTACCTCCTGGGGAGGGGTGTTTTATTATGTTATATATGTCGTGCATCAGATTAAAATTTAAATGCGGAGTTTTTTAGGATAAGGGTAGGGATGGCAAATAATTTAAAACAGAATGTTTTAAATCAGTTTTAAAGTGATTTTTTTAAAATATCGTCATCGATATTGATATCATGATTAATGATAATGATATAGTTATGATCATGATTATAAATTCAAATCTTCTGACTTTTTGATCTTTGTAACACAAACCGATGGCATATTTTGATTAAGGAATGTAAAAATCATTAAAAGCGATTTTTTTACCATCCCTATAGGTGCCTATGTTGGGCATTAGCGGAATTATAATGATTTTAATCTGACGCAGATTTTAATTTGACGCACAACATATATATTAATATGTGTGATGATGCTGAGACTTATTTTAATATAAAATTATAAAATTTTTTTGGACCGTTTTTTCATCTTTTAGGGATAGTGCTTATGATAGGTGGATTTTAATAAGATTTATATTTTTAAATCGAGACCCCAGATCTCATCATCATCCCCGACAATATGGATTTTTTTTTTTTTTTTTTACTATGAGAGGGGGGAGATTCTGGAGGGGAGGGATAATGTAAACCAGAGAATCTAATTGGTCTGGCCTAATTATACCAATTCTCACAACTTTTAATAACCTTCAACTGTACCTCTTCCTGATCTTGATTTTTATAACCTTCGGATTTTTCAACTTGACTTTCTAATCCATGCTTTAGTAACCCTATCGTTCTATTGGTTGTTACAGCACGTATAAGTTACGTTCCGTTGTTTGTGTCTTTCACTGCACGTTTTGCATAATCTAGCTATTTGGTGCAATCAAGTAAGCTCTCCGTTAAAACATTAAAATTTAAAGATGAAAATTTACCAACATTTTCAAGTTCAATTTTGTTCTCATGCAGTTTTTTATCGACCATTTTCCAAAAATTATCCACACTTAAAGAAGTTTTCTCATTATTTTTAAAAGAGGGAATGGACATTAGTATAAAATGATTTAATTTTAAAACTGCTTATTACTGAAGGACTAAACATTATGGTAATAAAATGTAAGAGCGCTCAAGGGAAGACGAAGTCCACTATCGCTGGCCAAGGCGAAGTCAGCCAGCTACTTGAGGGTTGTCAATACGTCACGTTGTTTGTCTCATGTGACCGGAACGTATTCTAGCTCTTAGTTCAAAGACACCGAGGGAAGACGAAGTCCACTATCGTTGGTCAAGGCGAAGTCAACCAGCTACTCGGGGGTTGTCAATACGTCACGTTGTTTGTACCGTGTGACCGGAACGTATTCTAGTCTTTGAACACATTAAATTACCCAATTCAAACATTGATTATACTTAACTTCAAAGTTAGCTAAACATTTTTTCGCCTCCTCGCCAGTCAATTGCTCTAGTGAAGTTTTGTAAAGTCGGCGTTCCTTTACTTTGTCATATGAAAAGTCGTCTTGGATTTCCTTGTATTGCAAAAACTTTAATAACGACCAACTCGAATGTTTCGCGAAAAAAACATTTTATAAGGTTCTGTGAAATTAGATATCAAAACAACATCATGTGATTATAAAACACCAAATTTGGGGTCGTCTAAAGCCGAACTACTCCAAGAGCACCACCAATTTTTTTCGGTAACACAAAATTCTATTGGCCGAAATGTAGTACAAATTTTATAT